AAAATTCCGTGTTGATCAAAAATTTTTTATTAGTGAGTGACACTTGACCCCCTGTAGATCCGCAATGTCCTGCGACTGCTATGCTCCCCAAATGTGTGTAACGCCGATCTATCCATAAAAGGATTTTTATCTATCAAATGTCATTCAATATAAACGTTATATATATTAATATGCTCTTCTTATAATAAAAAATAGAACAAACACAACAAATTTGAATTCATTTATCTATTAATCATCTAATTGCTGTAAATCAGCATGTGTATCCCATTCAACCATATCTCCATTTTCATCCACATTGCTTTTCTTGAAAGTGGTTGATATCCAAGATTTAATGCTTTTAAAAAATTAATGAAAAACGGGTTTTCTACAAGGCGGAAAGGTAACGCACATATAATAAATATCATAACTAAAGCTTTATCGATTGTTTTATGCGTGATTCTTCTAAATCAACTGAACAAAATTAACCATCAATATGACGTTTCCAGAATGTTCAAGAGGTTTTCCTTGTTTAGGAAATGTTGACTTTGTAAAATCAATTCATTTACTTCATTTTTGATAGTTTCAGATGCTTTTGAACATTGAGAACATGAGAATGTAAATGATATGATTGGGCATCTTAAAGATGACAAACATGGCTTACATGTAGCCTGGTAATGTCCATTACCAAGATGGTTACCACGTGTAAAATATTCCCAAATATCACTATATTTTTGACCGAGTTTATTTTTGTTATCAGTCATCTTTGATTATTATATTCGTGGGAGAAAAAGAAATGATATAATTAGAAAAGTAAGGATCATGATCTATTTTTTATTTGTATAACAAATATTACAACATTACAGTTAGCTGCAACACCGTAAATTCTGGCCCTCCAATGTTGTATTGTTGTTGCAACACGAGTTGCAATACCGTAATACCGTAATTTTACATTACGGGTGCCAACTCTATTCTCATTCCACTTTACCACCCTTCTCAAGAACCTATACACCTCACAAGCCATTAACACCAGTCACTATGTATTGGACAACATTTCTTCAACGTCGAAAAGATCCAATGGGAGTCTCTCCTGGTCAGTGAGATCTAACAAAATAATTGGTCATTTACTATGTGTTTTCCACTTGTTAAGCTAATCATAAACAACTGTGATGAATAAAATATAGAAATTTATTATTATTTAATTAATTATAGATATATTCTTATTAAATTGTGGTTTATATAATAAAATATTATTACAAAAATTATAGAAATAAAAATTACTTTTTTTCTTTAAACTAGAATATCAACTTATGCCTCTCATAATTTTCATACAATGATTGTACTTTACAACAACTATCTTTTCACTTTTTTGGCTTGTTTTTTTTTTCATTATGAAGTTCATTATATTCTTTTAACAATTTATTTTTCATAATTTTCCACGCTCTTTCTGTGAATGGTCGTGGTGATTGAGGCTTATCACCATATAACGAGGACCTATATGTAGGACAATCTTGAAGAATTTTCAAGTCAATAATCTGATTGCCGTTTACATCTGTCTCTTTAGTGAATTCAGTAATTTTCTCTCGGATTTTTGAACTTCTTTCTTGTCTCAGTTTATCGTTTTCTTTTTGTTTATCTAAGAATGCCGTATTGTAATCTGAATTTCTTCTAGCGATTTCTAACATCTTTTCTTTACCCTCATTTTTCTTTTTACGAAACCATTCTGATTTCGATTGACTCGGATCTTTTATCATTTCCAAATATTCATGATTGGTTCTAATAACATCATCTTTCCAGTATAAAGACATGAATCTAGTACTATGAGGAAACCATGGCCTATAAAACCAACCTTGAATAAAAGGCAAACCTGAAACGATATCTTCAACATTTTGCTGATATTTTATAATATGAGTTCTAATATAATATAAACTATATAAATTAATAATAATTACAGTTAGTAATCGATGATATTAAATTATAAATATTTAAATTAATGTACAAAAAAGTTTTTCCATTAAAAAATTTAGTGACCTGACTGTTCTACTGCTTATACAATCTTTACAAGCCCTAACTGTAAATTCCCAACAAACTTTTCTTGTTTTATGTTTATTGCAAAATTGACAACCTGTTTTTACCGCTAATTTCACATACTCAAATTCATTCATTCCATTTAGAGGTTTCATTTTTAAGAAGGGCAAAAATGCTTCTCTAGAAGCTTTCCAAATTCTTTGCGTGGTAATTGAGTCTTTATCACATAGGTAATTATTAAAAATTTTACATACACAAGCCAATGACAATAAATCCCTTGGTGGAAGAAATTGACAAATATTGATAAACATTTCCGGTGGAATACTTTTGAACATACAAACTTTTATCACTGTCGGGTCATTGCTAGATTCTCCCAATTTGATGATTTTTCTTCCTCTTTTCTTTTCTTTTCTTACTTTCTCTTTCTTTCTTTTTGCTTTTCGTGACATTTTGAATAATAATAATAATAATTATTATTAAATTATTTTTTATTAGTATCCTTGCTAACTTGATCACAATGGGTGCCTTCAAAAATTATTATATTGAGATTGAGATTGAGATTGAGATTGAATATTTGATTGGGATTGAAATTGAAATTTTCAATCCATGATCAAAAATTATTTTATCAAGATGATCGACAATTATTAATTAAAAATGGAACTTACAGTCAAATACCAATGCTTTGTTTTTTGGGTACTTCAATATTTTCCATTTTTTTTTTAAAAAAAATTTTTTTTATTTTTTATTTTTATTTTTATTTTATTTATTTTGTTTGTTTATTTTTTCAATCTTACTACCTGACCTAGATTGAAATTTCATTGATCTCAATCAATCTCAATATGGAAATTTTTGAACGCAGATCGAAATCAATCTCAATCTCAATCTCAATCTAATAATTTTTGAAGGCGCCCAATATTTTCCTTACTGCCAAGTTTAGAAATGATTTTGTGGATTATGATCTTAGCGGCCAAATCCTCATGAAAGAATAGAACTCTACAACAAATAATTTTTTCAGAAAATCTCATTATTACATTAGAATTAGAGACCTATTCTATCAACTAATAATGCTTTTTTAAAGGTAGGGCAGAAAGTGACTTCTATACTTTTAAAATTTGTACAAAATTGAGGTCTTAGACAAAGCCAACTTCACAATTTTTTGTTTTTTTTTTTATTTCAGATTCATCAGTCACTGTTTTTCTATATTTTGTGATTTGGTATATTATTTTTACATAGACCGATGATACCCTACCATGTTGACTTTTATTTAAGACTGAAATTTTGAATTTAAAGTTTTTCAAGAAACATAGATGCTTATCAGGACACATATATCATCATGTGTCAGAAATATTTAAAATTTTGAATGAATTTTTATTTTCTTAACTTTCCTTAGATATAAAATTTGCATGTAAATTTTTGCTAAAGCTACAAGACGATATAAACTATTTGTATGCTTAAAATGTGCCTGGCTTTGGATGGTTTTGCATCATTCACTTGCGAATACATTATGTTTTAAAACTTAAAAATCTGGTGCAATCCATCTTGTTGTCATGTAGTATATGTATGAGGCGGAAAAGGATGTTCAGAAATTATTTATATTAAAAAGAACTCATGAATTGCATCTTGCACTTTGTGTCAAAAGTATTAAGATGAAGAGGAGAAAAAAGGAACCTAAAAGAAACTACAAACCAGGTTCACCACTTCAACATGGTCGCACTTTACTATTAAAAATTTTATTGAACACTTAGATATCTCTAAGTTTGTCACCAATTGCTGAGTAAAGAATAGATATGGGAATTAGCAAGATAAATAAGTGAGCTGAATTGAATTACATGTTAATTAATACAGTATAACCTGACTTTTGGAGTTAAAGATGGCAGTGGTACTGAGCACATGGATATTGATAGAGAGTCAACCACACATCGTATTACCACCTCTTATGAAATTATATTATATTCTTTTAAAATCACAGTTCCTTATATTAACAAAGTCTTGCGTACTTGAAACTAATGAGTGTCTCTTAAAATTGGGACATGAAAAGCTATTCAGAATCCTGTATACTTTCAAAACAGCTCAGATCATATTGGAAATTAATGCAGCTCATAACATCCATCAAGAGCTTGGCCAGGATCTGAAGAACTTTGGATATTTCAAGTCTCAATTGAAGAGTCAACATAATTGGCAGCTTCATACAAAGAGAAAATGGACAAAGCTTTGTATTGTAGAAGAAATTAAATTATTATATGCCAGAAAAGAAACTCAAAATAACTATCTTCATTATCATTATCACTATCATCAACTGTTTCAAAATTTCACGTCCTCATCCCTTTAAATGGTGGCATAGAAAATATTGTACACTTGTGTGTAATGTTTCCAACAGACTAAATAGGCTCGCACAGCCCCATAGAATATAATGAGTGTATTCAACCCATCATGCATTTTATTCAAGTGTAACTACACCATAAAGCCTCAGGATCCTGATTCAGCAAATGCAATTGCTACTGCTGGTGTGTCCAGACTGCTCTCAGCTTCTCATTCCATTTTACTGTCTTCTCAAAAACTTCCATACCTACACCAACCATCAATTTATACTGGACATTCAAAACATTCTCAATATCAAAAAGATCCAATGGGAGTCTCTCCTGGTCAGGGAGATTTAAAAAAGAATTGGACATTTATTATATGTTCTACTTGTTAATTATATATAATTGTCATTTAATAAAACAAAAAAAAGTTTTATAAATAATTAGAAATAAAATACAAATAGTAATAATATCAAATAGTAGTAATAATGACAATAGTAGCATCAATAATAGTAGTAATAATAGTAACAATAAATTGTGTGATAATACTTTATTTTATTTTCTATACTCTTGAATAACCTGGTCTTCCACCAGATTTTATAAGATTAATTAAATGGCTAATTAAATCCTAAAATTAAAAGTTAAAAATGGATTATATTTTAGTGAAAAAGAATCAAAATATTTGAATTGAAATTAATAGATAAAAATTTACCAAAGTCATTTGTGGAACACTTCTCCAAAAATCCCTATAAATCAATTAATAATATTTATTATATTTGCATAATTGTCTAGTGAATGATCTATGAATTAGTTACCTGTGTGGAAGTAAATCACACCCTTGTGCATTATAGATGTGGTGATTGTATGCTGCTCCCAATAATAAATATGATCCAAAAAATACAGAAACACTATCAACATAGGTATATATATATATATATATATATAATTATAATTATAATTTTTTTTTTTAGTATTATTTAATAAATATGTGATGGATTAAAATTATATTTTACAAACATTATTAAAAATATGGCAAATCCTCCAAGAGTTTTAGTATTATCAGGATTTTTAGTTCTGAATAAAAATAATAACAATGATGTTTAGAATCTAAAATAACAATAGATAATAACATAGTAAAGATAATTTACCCGCATGCTGAATGTGTTGTCCATTCTAAAGATAATACATTATCTTTATAACCTTTAAAGGTAATCGGGTTTTCCACTTCTTTATTTTCTTTCTATAAATTTTGAATTTTTTGAATTTTTTGAAGACAATTATTTAAAAATAAATAAGATTATGCTTACATCACAAACAAACGTAATATTAGCTCGTTGTTGCTCTTCTTGTACAATTCCACCATGTAAAGTTATTTTCAATAAGCCTAATTATTATTAATATTATTTGTTATTAATTGCTATAATTTGTTATTAATTAATAATTACCACAATTAATTAATCAATTTAACAATATAAATTAATAACCATGTAGATCTTCTTTGTTTTGTGATGGTTCTAAATAATATTTTGGATCTAGTTTCCTTTCTTCAAATTCTCCTGCAATAGATTGAACTTCTATAATTCTTTCATCTTTATCTTTGATATTAGTTATAATCTGACAAATATACGTCCCATTTGCACATCTATCTCCCTGTGGAGTTTTGTCATCATCTTCATAAGTTAAAGGATTACAAAGACTTATTTTTTGTGTTGTATTTGTTACTGATGGTGGTGTTACTTTCTTTTGAGAAATAGTATAAGTTCTAAATGCCGACAGAAAATCAAAGGATGAATATTAATGTTTTCACATATGCATACAAATATGTGTAATTAATAATTGATTTATAACTAACTTGTTAAGTGCACTTAAATTAAAAATTATCCCATCTACTTCGACATATGAACAGTTAAAATCACCATTAACTCCGAGTAAATGATCATTTGTAACTAACAACAATATTATTATTGTTAGAATAAAAGTAGTAAACGAAAATAAAATAAAATTCATTTTTCTTTTTTTTTCTTCCTATTTTATTTATTATTATAAATATTTCTAGTAAAAAGTAATCTAAAAAAAGAAACAATTCGAATTTGTGTACACTAAAATTGTAATTTTATTTGTAAAATTTTAGATTATCAAAATAAATTTAATTGGCGGATATTGATATACATAATTTCATATTTAAACAATAATTTATAATCTTTAATCTTTTAAATAGCAAACAAAAGGATTATTTACATAATACACGAATATAATAATAAAGTTATTCTTCCTTTTGAGCATTTGGAATTGATTTTGTCAAGTTTTTAATTGCGTTATTTGATTGAAATTTAGTAAATACTCCTCCTGTTTTTTGTTTTACTACGTCAATTCCACTACACATGTGTGTATGTGTAGGCGTAAATATTGATTAGATATTATTATACACAAATATACACATAATAATATATATATATAATAGGTATATTTACTACTTACCGTTCATAATAGACAGAAGTTAATTTGTTTGCTTGATCTAATTTTTCATCAACTAAAGCTTTGTTTTGTAAGTAAAGCTTAGGTATTGCAAACCCAAGAACAAGTGCTACATAATAATAATGTGTATAAATAATATGAATATAAGCAATTAACATGATTTATCATTATATATAAATTCTTATAATAAAATAATTACCAATTCCTAAAATCGTATGTAAACTAAACCAAGAAGAAAGCCGCCATACGAAATAGACCAGAGATGCAAACTATATATGTGGTATGTAAATTTAATATAAATCAGGGATTTGTTTCATACTTGATAGTGATAGTTAGAAAGTTACCTTGGCTGATCTCAACGCATCATCCACTAAAACAATCTTTTGAGTTTCCACTGAAATGAAGTTAATTCCACAAATTACTTCATCAATATATTTATTCACCTGTGCACTTCCAACATACCAAGGTTTGTTAGCCAAATAATCACTGTAATAATAACAATATAAATATATCAATAATGTGTTATCTATAAATGATTTCATAAATATGTTTTTATATAAATGCTTACTTATATGGATTAATGGGTTCTTGATTAAGTATTGCGTTTAATTGTTTTTTTCCAGCCACATAAATCGTATTCAATCCTACCAAAGAGACAAAAAGAAAACAAAATGTATCGAACAAAGAATAACATGATGTAAAAATGAGAATTGATAATCCAATTGCTAAGGCTGTGCCAGAATGTATAGGATTTTCCCAATATACAAGATAAGCAACTATTGATAATATTAGTATCAGTATTTTAATCATTAATGGAGAAAACATGAATATGAGTTTAGGATAGTAATTATTACCTTTAGGTTTAATATGTACAAAAGGATCTAAATTAAATATTAGAATTTCGAAGAAAAAATTAATTAATTGTTGTTAATTGTAGAGAACTATTTTATATAATTTCTTGAAAATCAAACTTTACTTTTAATTTTCATTCCTTTAGTTTCTACCTTTGGTTCTTTCGAAATGTTTAAATTGTTGGAAATATTTGTTGTTGTTGATGATGATGATTTGTTATTTACAGGATCATCTTTAATTGATTCTTTATTACCTATGTTCTTTGGTGTTGGTGATGAAGTTTCTTGTACATCACTGGTACTAGCATTTTCATCAATTGCTTCAGTTTCAATTTCTTCGTTTGCTTTTTTACTTGCTTCAATTACTTCATCTTCCCTCGTTTCTTTTTCCATTTATTATCAATTTTTTTAATTTTTTGAAATATTTTATTTTTTGTAGAGAAAAAAATTTTTTATTTTTATTATAAAAAAATTTTTTTCGGTGTTACTAACTAAACATATAGACAAAGAAAAGATACTCTCACACTATCACTCTAAAATTGAATAAAGAAAAAAATTCACTAAAAGAGAATTAATCACAGGAAAAAAAAAAGGTTATTTTTATATCATTATGATATTAATTATGATGTCGACAATTAATTATTAATGTTAGCGGGGGGCGTGAGCACTTCTTCTTCACCGCCACCACACCAAAATCGAAATTTATCTTAGGTTAAATAAATTTTCACGTGTAGGTTTTTTTTCCAAACAAAGAAATAACTATATATAATAATAACACGTTTTTGGTGCATTGGGAGACCGACTGTCGCGTGCTTATATTGATTTTTGGGGATAAGTATAATAACCCTGTAATAAATCACTATATATACAATAAATAATTTTTTTTCCCCAAATTGAAGTTTATTTTTATTAGTAGTCGCAGGACATTGCGGATCTACAGGGGGTCAAGTGTCACTCACTAATAAAAAATTTTTGATCAACACGGAATTTTATATGAAAAAATGAAGAAAAAAATCACGCTTTCATACACAAACTTGCCTGATTTAATCAAATTGTTACTTTGATCATAAAAAATAACAAATATATGAAAAACCCTTTATTTTGATGTATTTTTTGCCAGGGTAAACAAATACCACTAAGCGATAATCTTAACATGAAGTTGGACTACCAGTTCTATAAGTTCTATAATAATAATAAATTAAGAAATTGGACAACATACACAATTTCAATCTTTAGACTTAATTTTTTTTACATATTAATAATAAGTACAATAGTTAAGTTCTAATTTTCAAGCTTAAGTATTTATTTTTAAATTACATAATTTTGTTTATAAAAAAGTATTAACTTCAAATTTTGCTTTTTAAATGAATTCGCGTAACAGATCCTGGTTATTATAATAAGTGTAAAGATTTATTTAATATTTTCAAATGAATTTGAACAAAAACGAATTCGCATAACAGATTCTTTTCAAGGATGGCTATTAATAAGATGGAAATAATGTCAGTTAACTTTGGTTTTTTGGGGGTAATTATTTTTAAAGATTAGTTTTCATACCCTCACTAATTTTTTTTCATCCATTTCCTATTATTAATTAATATTTTTTATATATATTTGAGAATGTAATGATTAGATTAAAAGGTATTTATTTATTAGCGATTGTTTTATCATCAATAACATTAGCAGGATCTGATGGTGATGTTATTAATATGTAATATATATGAGTTAAAAGAAAAGATTTTTGATTAAAGTTTTATTAATGATTATTATTACTTGAGCAATGGTTTTTATTTATACATATATAAATAATGTATAAATTAAAATGCAATCTTATCTTTAACACTTTAATTCCGTCAAACCCGCCTATATAAATAATGTATATATAAATTAAAATGCAATCTTATCTTTAACACTTTAATTCCATCAAACCCGCCTATATAAATAATGTATATATAAATTAAAATGCAATCTTATCTTTAACACTTTAATTCCGTCAAACCCGCCTATATAAATAATGTATAAATTAAAATGCAATCTTATCTTTAACACTTTAATTCCATCAAACCCACCTATATAAATAATGTATAAATTAAAATGCAATCTTATCTTTAACACTTTAATTCCATCAAACCCACCTGTATAGCTATTGAATAATTGATAAACTTTCATAAGTATATTTTACAAATTTGCTTTTCAAGCTTCATAGACATTGAATAATTGATAACATTCATCAAGTATGATTTGTAAGCTTTATACATCATATATCTTGTCTTTAACACTTCAATCAACCTGCCTATATAACTTTGAATAATTGATAAAAACATTCATGATTTAGAAAGACTTTTATTTATATTTAATAATAATAAATTACATTCCTCTCATTAATTCCGGTAATTAATTATGTAGAGGAATCATACTAATAATTCATTATTTCGAACATAAGCTAATAATAATTAGCAGGGTTGGCATTGGACAATGTTGGACAATGCCAACCCTGCTAATAATGGTGGCTTGTCAGTAGCTCGTGTTACTTTCTAGAAGTGGAAAATTTTCTCTGGTTATGCGTGGTTATGCACACAGCCTTTGAAATCTAACTAAAATGGAACATTTTGGAATTTTTTATTATCATTATCATTATCATTGTTATTATTATTTATTGTTTTTGTAATTGTTATTGTAATTGTTATTGTAATTGTTATTGTAATTGTTATTGTAATTGTTATTGTTTTTGTTGGTTTACTCAAAACACGTTGTTCAGAAGGTAATATTTTCTTATAAAAAGAACTTCTTTTCTTTTCCTCTTTTTTTATAACAATATACAAATACAATTAATACAATTCCGCTGCACCACAGCAACCCGGATTTTTTTTCCGCTGCACCACAGCAACCTTTAAGGCAAGTCTTGGAAATGTGTTTTTGATTGGTTCTGATTATTTAACTACATGATAACCTTAGGGCCGGGTCAGGAGCACTGGGTTATTATTGTAGTTGAAGAGATAGACTTTAGGGCCACTCATTTCTTTGATTTGAGTAGGAGCACTGAGTCTATTGCTAAAAATCAGAATTTTTTTGAGGGCATTTTTCTGGATTTGTTTAGTCATTCATTTGACTAACCTTTTTTTATTAACTTTATTTAGATGCCTCGTTCACGCTGCCAACAGAGGAACACCAAGAAGTTGTTGGTCGTCATACAAAGGCGCCTATCAATAATAAAAGTATATACAAATTAATTTATATTATAATTTGATTTTTTTCCAATTTTTCTAATTTATATTAGTGTATTAAACCAAATGATGACGAGACAATTTTAAAACTTGAAAAAATAGTTAAATTTTTAGGACACCTTCATAATACAAATTACACTTGCTGTGACTTTTATGATGAGCTTACGATGATTGCTAGTATGTGGGCCGACCTGGACAAAAAAATTCAAAAAATTATTTTTTGGTACAACCTATCATCATCAATCAAGGCGAACTATTTAATTATTATATATTTATTATGTTGTTTACTTGCAGCATATTTTATAAGAATAAATTAAAATAAAAATTAAGTTTTATTAATTATTTGTGTGCAATTTTTCATGATTTGGCCCTTGTAAAAATTGAAAAAAAAAATTTTTATATTAGCTTGTAGTTTATATCCTCAAATAAAGCATAAAATTTCTCTTGGTTTTGGCCCTTGTATATAATAATAATAATAATAATAATAATAATTTAAGAGTTCCGAATTTTGAAATTTATTTTTTATTATTATGTATGTGGCTTCACTTCCTTTTTTTGGTCATTGTCCAACCGGCCTAACTAAAAAAGGAAAGATCGCCGCTAATCATTTCTTTTTTAGGAAGGACCCTGATCATCAATTTCCTTTTCGGGATAGACTTGCACCAACCAAAATAATTATTTCAACGACCATTTGTTTATTTCTTTGTAAACGATTTTTTATATTAACAACACAACAAACAACCACCATCATACTCTATTATACCATTTCACAGGTTTAAGCATGTTAGCCAAAATTATCTCTCTTAACAAATGATCATTGTCAAATCCGAAATGCTGAAATAGTTTTTCATAGTTGCCAAAATTAACTTTAATAGTTACTGAAATTATATCCGAATTATTTGAATACTTTAACTCAATAGCCGAAATTCTGGGTAGTTTTTTTATGTTGATTAATATAAAGAATATTGTTACCGGAATTAGATTTGGATGCTCTTTTGGCCGAATTTAACTAATTCCGAAATTCTTAATTTTTATCATTTTATTTTGTTTATTTCTATTTTTATAATCTTATTTTATTAATATATATTAACTTAGTATTATTTTTATCTGTATTACATCTATTTTCGTAATATGTTTTATTTTTATTTTATTTTTTATTTTATTTTTATTTCTATTAATTATTTGTATAACATCGTAATTTATTTAACTTTATTAAGGAAGAATCGTCTTTCCAATATTTCAATTTTGAAATATTAGTACAATTTTGAAATATCTATCGTTTCAATTTTGAAATATCAGCACAATTTTGAAATATTGTTACAATTTTGAAATGTTATTACAATATTGAATGGAAATTTCAATTTTGAAATATTAGAATTACTAATTAATTGAATTGTATATAAGGAGCTTGAATTCAATGTACTTGTAAAGTAACTTTGTAATAAGTTAATTAGTTTCAACTAAATAAAACTAAATAAATAAAATAGAAATATTTTATTTAAACTATTATCTTCTTTAACCAAAATTATTTGCTAATAATAAAATCAATTCATTGATCCCCTATTCATTCTGATCCACACAAAAATAAAAATAATTGTTATCACCAATTAAAATACGCTCTCCCAAATTTAATCGGTGACAATATTGTATATCTGAAATTGCCTGCTGAAATTGATTTTTTCAAAAACCATTTTGGCTAACATGCTTAATCAGGTTTCCATGTTTCATTTTCCGTGATTCATGGCTGAACTCAATTGTGTAACTATAAAAGGTTTAAAAAAGGTTTAAAAATAGTAAATGTGGACAAAAATAAGGATTTTTGGCTTACACATATTAATATGATACCCGGAAATTACCAATATTGATGGAATCTAAAAATAAATTCAAATAAAGGCTGAAATTACCAGCCACAGGATCTACCAGGTAAACACAATGTTAGTATATAAAGAGAAAGGTTTTGAAAAGAAAAAGATAAGTTTGAATTAGATATATTATTAAATTAAAAAAATTAAAAATTTTATTCTTAATTATCAAATATATCTACAAAAATTTTTTAAATTAAATCTATTTTCGTTACTATTGAATTAAAGATCATGGAATTAATTTCTGATGAAGTTCCTATTGATGTTGAAATTTTAGATGAAAATATCAAGGATTTTGATGATGATAATAACTATGAAGGGGATTATGATGATGATGAAGGGAATAGTAATTTTAATAGTAATATACTTGCATATGACTATCTCCAACTTGATAAAGCCAAGAATGTTGATTTCTTACTAGATGAAGATGAAGATGATGAGGTTGAGGTTGATGATGGTAGTGATACCAGTGATAATGCTGATGTCATTGATGAAGAAGAGGAACTTGAAACAAGAGAAATACCAATTAATAATACTATGCCTAAGGAAGGATTTACTCATTGTGTTGTAATTGATAAAATTGATGGGGTAATACAACAATGTAAATCCACCAATAAAATGAGACGTTTAGGACAGCTTGTTGGAGCATGGGAGGTAGATGAAACAGCAGTTAGAAATTGTGATGATGTAGTGAATGAATTGGGTGTATGTTATGAACATTTTTTATATGATCAAAATTCCATTCATTCTGCAAGAGTTAAACAGGATGTAAATATAGAGAAAAGTCATGTCCAATTTCGCAGATGCCTATTTTGTAAGAAGAACAAAGCTTTTTTTACACGAAGAAAAGCATGTATTGAGCATTGCTGGAGTATTGTTGGAAAAAATATTCAACTTCCATGCAATGCACAATATAAATGTAAAGTATTCTCACCATTTAATTCAATTGCAAGTAAGTCCAGATCTGACTACAGGCCTCAATTTGTCTGCTGTTCCTGCTTTGCTTTACAAGGCGGTCATTTAGAACCAAGACCTAGGAAAGGGCCACCATTTAAATTATGTAATGATCATGATAATGATGCATCCAGTTCTCTACAATACATAAGTAAATGGATTTTAGAAGTATCTCATGGTAGTGATCAAGAATATAAAAAAAAGGTACTTAACTATTTGGTCCCAAGTTTAGCTGTATTCAATAAAGATTCATCCAAATTTCCTGAAAATGTAAAAACAGAACCTTCAGAATCTACACAATCAGAACAATCAGAAGAAATCAAAGTTCCTCATCTGTTTCTTATAAAAACCATTTTAAAATTAGCTAAAGTGAATCTTACAGATGAAGAAAGGGCTTCTAATTTGACTTCTGGAGAATTCTATAATCAAGGGAAAACACTTGCATTGGCAATATGGAAAAACAAAAATATTCTTTCAGAAAATTCAGAACAACTTTCCCAACCTGAGTCTTTAGAAAAATATATAAATGCTTTTCCACCTTGCTTGACAAGTTTTTTTGGTGGAATGGTTGAAACAATAAATATTAAAAAGCAGCTTCAACGTAGAAATCAAATCCCTGACCCTAACAATAATCAAACAATAAAGACAACAGCTTTTCTTTCATCTGTAGTCATAACCAATGCATTCAAAAAAAGAAAGATTTGGATTACCCAAATTTTAGCAACCTTATGCCGCAAACCCAAGTTATTAAGCTCTTTGTATCAGGTACTTTTAGCTGGTGGTGTACTTCCTCACACATTAAGACATGAGCGTCGCTGTGAAGATGAATTGATGATGGCTGCAGATCCAAGGAAAAATTTAGTTTATGGACCTACAATATGGAGTGTTGGTGTAATTGATAATATTGATTTCAAAGAATCTACTTTTTTTTCAGGAAATATATTTGATGCAACTAGAAATTCTTTACATGCAATAGCCCGAATAAGTATCCAACTCGACTTGCAAGAACCTTTGGATGATATCATGAAAAGATCACCAATGTGGCCAAGAACAATTGATAACTTGTTTGGACCTTCTGAATTTATTGAAGAATGGAATAATAAAAAAAATTGTATTTTTTCTGAATTATTAAAATCACATGAAAAAAATTTAGATGCACATCATATACATGATGAAATTACCAACTATTCTTTAGAAAATTCTACAATTGTCAAGACCACACCTAATGTTGTAATACTTAAAGCAGGTCCTGCAGCTAATTGTGATAGAAACGTTTTTGCTACATGTGACCTGTTTAAAGAGGATCTTCTTTCTGATGAAGCTGAATTTCAAAATAGGTACAATAAACGTCTTGATCTAGTTGCAGATGAAGCTATTTTTCGAAGACTTGTACGTTACAATAAAGACCACCCAGAGGTGATTCCTATGCTTGGCCAATTTCACACAAGTAGGGAAATGCTAGTTGTGCTGATTTCTGCATTTTCGGGATATGGAATTTTTGATCTTGCTGCTAAACTTGGTTCCAAATTTTTAGATAAACTGGATGACGTTGTAGATTACAGAGCAACCTCTAGAACCATAGAATTATTATGGGTTGCTACTGGAATAGCAATTCATCTATATATAGAAAAAAATGAAATATCAGTGAATGACATATTACAAGGAGATAATGATATCTTAAAAGTTTGGTATTTATTCTACCAATGGGCTGGTTATTGGAAAGGACATAAAGTTGGTATCAGAACAGGAAATTTCAATATGCAAATTGAAAATTTAGCTGCATTTGCTCCCTTATTTCCTGCAACTGGTAAATTTAATTATTATAGAGCAGTTGTTAATTTCCTGGCCTACCTATGTAAAAACCCAGGTCAAGCAAATCTTTTATGGAAGGCATGTTCTGTGAATCTTACAAGAGAAGGCCATTATTACGCATTTGATGAGACAATGGAAGTACATGGAATAAAATACATCAAGCAAAATATTAGTCATAATCCTACCTCTACAGAAAATCTCATGAAAGAGATAAAATCAATGCAATCAAGAAGAGAAAGACTTGATACATTTCTCTCTGAATTTTTGGATGATGATGTTAAAATCAGAAGTGAAAAGGCCACCCATAGTCGTAAAGAAAGTCTCTGGCAAGTTATAGATGAACTCTGCAATATATTTGATGGCACAACACCATTGGATCATTCTTTGTTTAAAAATCTTAAAGAATTACATGATGAAGGATTAAATAATATATTTACCTGTTATGACAAAGGTATTGAACGGCTTTACACTTTATTAAATGTAGAGGTACTTGGAAATATAAAAACCAGAGCAAGCTCTAAGAAGGATATTATTTCACACAAATGGACTGATATTAGCAAAGATAATAATAAATCAAAAAAAGGGAAAAAATCTAATTTAAATGAACAACCAATACCTATGATAATTGATAATGATGATATACAAAATGCATCCTCTTCCACTTCTGATGCACCTCCCTTACAAGCAAAAAAACCAAAACACATGGCATCTCCAGCTGAAAAAGAAATTCTCAGGCACCTTGCCTCTTTCCAAGAAACTCTTCCAAATGATGCAATTGATTCTGTGCTAGAATCATTATTCCAACTTGATCCAAATTATTGGGATAAAAAAAAGGTGAAGGATTATTGGCGACTTAATCTTGGGCCTAATAAAAGGAAAAAAAAATCTGAAATGGATATGGAATCATAATAATTATTTTCTATTACATAAATATTTTTTTTTTCATATACATACTAATACATATTGTATAGTTTTCCTATTCATTGAAAATAAAATTGTTGGATTCATTATTCTTATGGTATAATTTCCATTTAAGCATTTCTATTAAAATAAATTAATATTATAAATAACTATAAATCAGTCCCTTATAGTTAAAAGCAAAATTTTTCTAACACAACCTTCCAAGTGGTTATAAGCGACTTTGTAGGGAACACTTTGGCACAACTGTTGCTGCTGAATTTGCTTTAGTTTGCATACTGGCTGAGCGATAATCTTAAAATAAGTGTGAAAAAAAGAAACGCTTCCGACCTGGCGTAGAATAACCAATATTTAAGCTAGCCTTTTCTTTTAACTGTTGTTGAAAGTCCTGGTCTGGCTCTAAAAATTTTATTATGGTTGAAAATCGCTTGTTATATGAAAAACGGAGAATTTTTTTTTTGAAGTGGACGACAATAAATTTTTTCGTGTAACGTTTATATTGAATGACACTTGATCTGCAATGTCCCGCGACTATTAGAGTATAATTGTGTACAATATGGGACATGTCACAGCAAAAACCACCTCTGAGACTTGTAGATCATTTTGCGGTATCACCTTATTCAACTACGTTACACACTATTTAAACATATAAAAAAGAAATTCTTTGTCACCCAGTTCTCTTTTTTTTATTATGTAAATAGGGTTTAATATTTTCACCAATTATAATACTTATGTTATAGTTTATTATTATGCAAAAAAATCAATTTTGGTTAGAAAGTCCCAGAGGTGGTTTTTGCTGTGACATGTCCCATATAATATTAAAATACGACTATATAATGAAAACCAAGCCTATGTATTAAAAACATTCAATAAAGAAATACTATATATTAATTTTTTTATTTATTATTTTATTTCTATCAAGTTTCCTTCCCTCTGATATTAATTTTTGCGTGATATCTGGAAGGGAGATCGTCACAAAATTTAGCCAATGAAATCAAATGTCTACTATGCTGTGAATATCATTCGGCGGATATAGACACTAAAAGACATTTAATAAATTTTTTGTCATAATCTGCATATCAAAAAAATATAAAATTTAAACTCATAAACCTTGGTGATTTGGCCGAGTTGGTCTAAGGCGCCGCACTCAAGTTGCGGTCTCGAAAGAGGCGTGAGTTCGAATCTCACAGTCACCATCAAATTTTGACATTTTACTCTTCTTTTTTTGTGTAAAGAAAAAATTTGACGTTAGTTACTATACAAAATAATTACGGCACTCAAGATTACTCGGAATAATTTTTTGGGTATTATATATAGCATCATGTGTACTTATCATCGCAACAATTACTCATGGATGGATGAGAATCACTTTTATCCATAGAATTACGTTTGTGAGAAGGCAATATAAATTAAAGAAATATGAACTGTAAATCTTTATTACAAAAGTCAATCCTTGACAAAATCACAGATAACATATCAAGCTGTAAAAATGAAAATAGATACGTATTCTCATTATTTACTCAAAAATCATTTTTGATGGTATAAAAGTCAAAATTATTTAATAGAATCTTTGATTTTTTTTTTTGTCATGTTAAGTAATTTTATTAATAATAGGAACATCATACATATTGTTAAATGTTACAAAATTAATCTACAACCTACTTAACTCACTCTCTATTTTACATTGAAATAAAAGAATGTGACATTACCACTGTATTTAATAGAATCTTTGACATAAAATGTTTCTTTCTATTTATGTATTTTTATTTTTTTATACATTTATTATATTATATGCATGTTCAATGTTAAAGATAAATTAATTAAAAAAAAAAAGAAAAAATACTTTTTAAAAAAGCTTTATAAATAATAATATCACTGTTACTATAATAGTTGTGTGATTCTAATACATATGAACAAATATTCTAAGAAAATTTGAACTAAAATTTTGAAATTAATTAAATTAAATTAAATAATAGTAAATAAAATCAAATATATTGTTAATGTTATTATCATCATAATAAATAAGATTGTTTTATCTTAGCTCCAAACATCTTCTTGATATCGTCCACAACTTCTTAAATCTTTAATATAAGTTATTGCACTACCTTCATCCATTCCACCAATTTTCTGTGCAATTCGAATTAGTGAGGTATTTACATCACGTGCCATATTTTTAGCATCACTATTTGGTTTGTAAATTAATATAAATTTATAAATATTCATATATATAATACATATTTTCACATTGAATAAGATTTATAATGTCCATATTCGTATATTTACTTACCCACACACATAAAAATATCCACCATGATTGTAAATCAAATCCCAAATATATTTTTCTTGCTCTTGTAATCGATGTTGTACATATACTTTGTTTTCCTTTAAAAATAAACAAGAATAAATTTTAATTGTAATGATAATATATCAATATTAATATTATCAAAATATATATTATATTAATGTTTATATATTTACCTGTTCTCTTGAAAATGCTGTGAATAATTTCCCACTATCACCAAGTATATTAAATAATTCTTCAAGCTCATTTTTATATAAGAAATCCTCATTAATTTTTCGACAACCAAAAAATAAAACTGTATCACCAACATCTTCATCTTCTGATTTATATTTGGCTCTTTCAATAACAAATCCTCGAAATGGTGCTAAACCTGTACCAGGACCAACCATTATAACTGGTATTTTAAGATCTTTTGGTAATTTGAAATTTGTATTTCTTACATGAATTGCAACTTTGATTGTGTTTGAGGATTCATCATAAAATCTATCTCTAGGACCAGAATACAAATAATATGGTGATGCTTCAGGATGTTGGATGTTTTGTAGTTTACGATGAATTTGTAGGAGATAATTTGTCGCAAGTCCATATACAGATTTTTGAGATAATGCAGGTTTGAATGATAATACTGATGCTGTTACATGAATAGATGAAGGTGTTGATTTAGGTGTACTAGATATAGAATAGTATCTACATTGTAATTTTGGTAATGTTTCAATAATTAAATCTAAAGGAATTGTATCTAATTGCTTTCCTTTAGGTGAAATCAATTCTAATACTTCTCCAAGTGTAAGATGTGCATCTAAAACTTCTGCTTTGTATGCATCTTTATCTTGACCCAATGTGGTGAGCCTAGATTTTCCCTCCTCAGTTGGAGCATAATTTGCCAATGTTGCAATAAATTGACGTGATGCTGGTGCATGGATATCAAGATAATTTCGAAATATAGTAGCATATGTTGTTGGAACAGGGAAAGGGCTCTTTTTTGATGCAGATGCTAATTAATTAATTAATGGATTGGCTATGGTTAATTGGGAATTTTTTTTTAAAAAAGAAAAATATTATTTATACAAATTAAAAATAATGAATGATACATACGATCAGTACTTTCAAGATTTATTATAGTATCTTTTTTTTCCCAAAGACCTAAAATTTTAAGTAATCTATAGACATCTTGTTCAGGATTAATTGGCCAAATAGCAACATGATCACCTGATTGGTATGTAAGCCCAGATCCACCTATGTCCAATTCCACATGAAGACAATTACGATCTAATGAATTAAATAACTCACGGGTGTTTTGAATAGTAGCAGGAAATGGATTTTTTGCATCATAAGTTTGGCCACTTTAAAAAAATAAAATAAGTAAATATATCAACATTAATGATAATAAAATTAAAATTAAAATTAAAATAAAAATAAAAATCATCAATATTGTACATACGTTTCATTGGCCATAATAGCATGTTCACTAAATTCACCATAATACACTTTATTGGCATCATAATCTTCTAATTCTGTAATCTTATAGGCAGCAATTCGTGAACTAATATTATTGTATAGATATAGTGAAGATTAAATAATTAAATAATAATAACAACCATAATTATTAATATACCTCGTGTGTAATTCACTTTGATCAATATTCATTGCATCACAAACAGCTTTCCACATATCTTCTTTCCATCCAAGAAAATCTTCTTCTAAACTACCATCATCATCGCCTTCACCAGCTTGACCAATCTTTTTAGCTCCAAATTCGCTTAACTTAGCATCAATCATCCTCCCAACAGCATTATAATGTTCATAAGTTTTATTTCCTAAACCAAAAACTACATAACGAAGAGTTGACAATGGCTTTTCATCAATTGGTATACCATTTGAGAACTCGGGATTTTCTGTAGTTATTAACTCCCAAAATTCTATTGCATCGTCTGGTGGTTCACCTTCACCTAAATTAAAAAAAAAATTCTAATAACCGCATAAAATGATATATAAGTATATATGAATGAACAATAATTGATTTACCATAAGTTGCAAACAAAAAGAATGCTATACAATCTTCTGGAAATTGATCAAGAAGTGTCATATCACAATCTTCAACATCAATCACCATAATTTTCAATCCAAATCTTTGTTGACCTTCTTTTGCAAGACGTGAAGCATAATCTTCAGCTGTACCTGTTTGAGATCCGTAAAAAAAAATCGCGTTTTTATCCTATAAAACATAAGCCGATGATGATTGTAATGATTATAGTTTTATAATTTTTTCAATACTCAAGAGTAATATATAATAAAACATACAGTATCTTTCATTTTTTTAAGGAAATCTTTGCTTTTTTTTGGTTGAGTAAAAACAATCGGTTTACTGACAGGGACTACTGGAACGGCTTGTACAGGTCTTTCATTTTTTCCAAATAAAGTATCTCTGAATAAATAAACGAATGCTCCAGCGGTAGCTAAAAGTAAGAACACAAGATCGAAAATGTCTATAAAAGGTTCATCAGCTTGAGTATTTGTATCCGCATCCATTTTGTCTTTTTGTGATTTGGTGTTTACTTATAAATCTGTCAGATTTTTAAATAAAGTTCTTTTTGCTGAGTTTTTTGATAAAATTTAATTGGTTAACGATGGTAAATGTGATAATAAAAGAATAATTTTTTGAAAAAATTTGTTTGTATGAAAGAAAGAAAAATCTTTTATTTATTTAAAGATTTTTTTTTGTAACACGTTCTTCTATGAAATAATACGATTTTTCAAGTGTCGGAGTAAGTATTACTATTATTACCGTATTATTACTATAATAACAATAAATCATAATGATTTTTATTATTCACCACCTTAACAATAGTAATAGTGATACATTAAATTTATTAAATTTAAATTTAGTATTGACTTTTTAATACATATATACATACAATGAAGGGGGGAATCATGTGACTATAGTGCGCGCCATTTAAAAGTCATCAAATGCTGCGTCATTATGGCCAAATGTACAAAAGGTTGTTTGAATTAAATATTAAAAATTTTTGATGTAGCAAGAAAATGGTGCACTCCGTTTTTTTAATGCTTCTTAAAAAATGCTACACATCATTTTTTAAAACGCTACATGTTTTTTTATTTCATGCTGCACACGTTTTTTAAAAATGCTACATATGTTTTTATTTATTGTTTTTTAAAAAATGCTACACGTTTTATTTGATGCTTCTTGTCATTTTTTTAAAAGATACATCATTATATTTAAAGGTTGTATGCTACATTTCATTCTACTGTCATTATTTTTAAGATGCTGTGTAAAGTTTTTTTAAATAAAAATGTAAATTTAAATATAGAATGAATAAAATTATTTTTTTAATTAAATTTAATGATTAAATATAATGAGTGAATGAATCACAGATCCAATTTCTTGATCATGCACAAAATGTTCAAACAACAAATGCACTATTACAATCTGAAGATTATGACTATTTACATATAGTCGAACCTTGTCACAACGAATTTTGTTATAACGAATTTTTGTTACAACGAATTTTGAAAAAAAAATTTTTAAAAAAACTTGAATTTATTAATAGAATCTTGACGAACAACGTGGTAAAATTTTTTTGATATAATAATAATTACTAATCGCGCTACAACGAATTCACGTGATAAATGATCAACAAAAAAAAATCGTACGATTAAAAAAATCTCACAATTCAACGTTGTAAAACGTTGAGATTGAATCATAATTTAAAAATTAAAAATTATTTAAAAATTGTAATAAAACGTATGATTGTTTGTGATTTAATTGATGATCCGCGAATATGAGTGAGTCGTACATAGTAAAATAACAGGAGAGAACGTCCTATATAAGGAATGGATTTTCACAATTGATTTCAATTTTTTTTATACAGTTTAAAATACTTTTACAAGGGTATCATGTAGCCCATTCTTGCAATAAATCATGTGTAAATAATTACACAAACTTGAAGCTTTACACTTTGTTGTTATCATATCTTTTGAATCCCTTTGAATCCCACAACTTTCATAATACGATTTACTCAAAGAAAAATTGCCTGAAATTAAACATTGCACAGAATGTAAAACCACTGAATCAGCTAAATTTCATCAACGAAAGGCAATAAATGGAAAGAAGCTGAGAACAACAACTTAGAGAAAGTAACGTGTTGTTTTATGTAACATTTGTAGCCCATTCTTGCAATAAATCATGTGTAAATAATTACACAAACTTGAAGCTTTACACTTTGTTGTTATCATATCTTTTGAATCCCTTTGAATCCCACAACTTTCATAATACGATTTACTCGAAGAAAAATTGCCTGAAATTAAACATTGCACAGAATGTAAAACCACTGAATCAGCTAAATTTCATCAATGAAAGGCAATAAATGGAAAGAAGCTGAGAACAACAACTTAGAGAAAGTAACATGTTGTTTTATGTAACATTTGTTATATGAATTTTGTAGAAAAGAGAACCTAGGAGAGTAAAAACCACAGATGCAGAAGGGGAAGAGATAAGTGAAAAGATTGATTTCACTAAAGCCATCAAATACAAAGATTGCTCCAAGAAATAGAACCAAGCTTGAAGGGTTTTTTAACCAACTCTATTTAGCAGCTCAGCCATTTGAACATAATGGATCATATGAAGAGATTAATGGTGGTGTTCATGTATTATCTTCTTGTTTTAAATAATACAAAAATTAACTCTTTTAAGTTCGAACTTGCATTCTATTTAGACTCGGTAGATACAAGTCTTGGAGTAACTACAACATCAAAAGCAGTAGATCGTAAAAAGAAGCAAGTTGCAGATGAACATGAGAAATATGTAGAGAATGCACTTACAAAATATTCAAAAAATACATTCTTGTTGAATGTTGACGATTCACGTCCAGAGATAATCAGTATCCTTTAATTACTAAAACTTTGTTACTTCTAGGAAACCATCTACAAACATTTTTTTGCGATTACGTATAATGTAATTACACCAACTATACTAATTTGAATAATTGTAGTGTACCCATTTATCACAATCATGCCTACAAAGGTGTCAATCTAAATGTTTGATATCTTGGACTACCTTCAAGTCGAAATCAAAAAAAATGTCAACACACTAAAAGAAAGTATGATGAAAAATATTAAATGAAAATGAATTTATCAAAAATAACAAAA